TTTTTTCATTACTTAAAGTAAATCTTGATTTCTCCAGGAGACCTTGAGAATTAATTTAGAGTTTTAAAATATCATTTAATCTTATTTGTTGAAAGCTATTTCTTAGAAGAATCGGGGAGGGGGGATAACAATTTCCAGAAGTGTTTAATCCTTTTTTGAAAATAACCATGAACCTCTTCCCTGACTCCAAGAATGTCTTAGCCTGTTCAAAAGGTAGTGTCATTTACACTGATTTTAGTGTATCCTAGAGGAAAACCTTACAACTTAAGATTCGTTAGGTAAAAGTTACAGAAAATTCTAGAAGTCTAGAGAATGTGCATAACAGGTGTTGCTGTACATATTTGAAATCCTATTGGTTCTTATTGCAGGTGACATATTGCAATATACTTAGGAACTGAAAACAACACACATTTTGCATGTTCCATTTCCGTGGTCAGGGTTCTGAGTATATTCGGTCTAACAAGGTGCTCAGGTCTCTCCAAGGCTGGAGTCATAGTCTTCTTCATCTATACTCCTCTCTGGGGCTGAGGGTTCTCCTTTATGTGCTCACAGTCATTGGCAGAATTCAGCCTTTTGACTTTAGAACTAAAGGTCTTGGTTTTCTTAAAGTTTCATTACTCTGGATAGTACATTAAAACTGAAGACTGGGTTTGTTAACAGAAATCTCTACCAGTTATTATTTGTACAGTAATTATATAACCTGGTGCGCAGATAGTGAGTAAAAGAACTTTAATGAGGAGGCTTCTTTAAAGGAATGTATGGAAACCAAACTATTCCAAAAGCAAAAGCCAAGATGTATATTCTGTAGCTTTTGACATCAAGGATTTTTAGCTGCATTTTGAAATTTCATCTGGTCAATTAAGTATACAAAACAAATTAACCAAAACATACATTATGTATGTAGAAAAATATTAAAGTATATAATAAGGAAATGTACTCAATATAAGTCTTTAAAAATTGAAAACACAAAGTAATTTTGAGCTTCGTGACAGCCTTAGGGTTCACATTACTTGACTGGGATAAATTTAGAAGATTAGACAGTCTGGCTTGTTGTTCGTGCATGCTGACTGAGCTTCTTCCCTCATTAACTCTTTCAAGGAGAGCTTAAAGTGTGTAAGTGTGTGTGTGTGTGTGTGTGTGTGTGTGTGTGTGTGTGTGTGCGCACGCACGCACGTGTCCACCCTACAATGTGCATGTAGAGGTCTAATACAATCTGCAGGTGGGTCTCACCTCTCACCTTGGTTTTAGGCAAGGTCTCCACTGTTTGTGCTACTGTACTGTGTACTCCAGGCTAGATGGCCTGCAGATTACCAGGGATTTTCTTCCCTGGACTGTCCATCATGCCATAGGAGTGTGGGGACTAAGTGAGCATGGCTTCACCTGGCTTTGTGTAGGTTCTTGGGATTTGTGTTGGAAGTTGGGTCCTCATACTTGAACAGCAATGTTTAACCACTGAACTTTTCCCAAGCCCCTATGTCGCTAATTATTTAGCACTCGATCATTCTTTACTTGTTACTGTCTATTGTACCTAACGTTCCTTTTTCACACATCAGACATGGAGAGAAAAGATGAACATTTTGAAGAAATCACAGCTTTCTTGAGTCAGTCGTTTGCTCCCTTCAATGACGTTGGTTAAATACCATAACTATAACTCTGATTCCATTGTTCAAAATCTAAAATAAAATCTGCAGTCTTCAAAGTTTTGACATCTTCCACTGCTGTTCTATTTCTGTGTCTTTCCTAACATGTCATTCAGGCATCTGACTGAGCTTAAAGAAGTAGACTCATTGGCAGCTCAAAACTTCGTTTGTGCAGCAGAGGTTTGAATGACTTGGGAGATAAGTCTACACTTAAACGTTTTATTATTTCCTTTTTTATTGGAAGGCTTTCCCCACTGTAGTTAAATGATAGTACTTGTTTTTGTCACTGGCAGTGAGCGTTCATGTACGACCTCAGTGTATCCTACCTTACAGCACACTGGTATTGTGTGGTCCGTAGACTTTCCAACAGACAAATATAATGAATGCCACTAGAACTAGTGACTTTGTTTTTAATTCAGATCAAGTAGAATTGACCTAGAAAGCATTTGATTCAGGAGTACGAATGGAGTGAAATCACACAGCCATCCATTCCGCACTTGCGTCTGACTAGAAATGTACTAACTAGTTTGTTTCTCTCTTGGGATGGAAACCTTAAATTTTTGTTATAACAAGGCATCTCTGTGTGAATCACAGGTGAAGATGAAATCTGTACAGGGAGTTTAAAGAACACACTCACATATGTGACTGCACACACACATACACACACACGAATACATACACACACACACACACACACACACACACACACACACACACACACACCCAGAATCCTTTGGGATCCTTTGATCTGTTTCACAACCTTTGACCAACATCTTTAACTTAGAGAAGGCTAAAACAGACTCGCTTTACATCCACATATATTTGAATATCATTTTATAGAATCAAGCTAATCTCAGATTTTAAAAAAAATAGATGTGTTTGGGTATAGACAATCAAGTTGATATTTGGACCATCTCTATATCTAAAAACATGCTCGTCATAGTTCATAGTACTAGCAATTACTCAATGAACATATATTACCTTCATATTAATATCAGTATGCATATTAATATCAATAAATCCATTACCTATTTTCCTAGTTTGCCCAAATAACTCTCAGAGCATTGACAAAAAGAAAAGTTACAGGTAGACATGTGTAAATGAACTTCTTCTGATACAGTGTAGACCAATTTTATGCTGGAAACTTGGAATCCCAGATTTGTCCTGTGATACGGAGACTTGAAGTGATTTCCTTTATTTTTACTTCCAAATTTCTGTTGTCTTAACTGGCACACTCCCAAGTGGCTAGATGCCTCCAGTTGTGTCTGTCAGCGTGGTGTGGAGAACACCACAAATCTGGTAATTACAAGGAACTGTTTTCTCATTATTTCCCCACTATTTTTCTTTCCAAAGCATTTCCTAAGTTTGAAGTGTTGTGAAAACCCTAGACTCTAGAGCAAAAATGCTAGTTTTAAAAAACAAGCTCTTGTTGTGTTTTCTTAGCATAAAGGTAATGTATGTTCATCATAGAAAGGGCGAGTAAGCAAAATGAAGGCAAGGAAAACCATAGAAATTTAACTCACTGAGGGAGACATGGTTACAGTTCACACACATCTTCTAGTTCTTTCTCTGCATAGAAAAAGAAATCACTTAAATTATGTTGTACATCCTGTGATTGATGTATTACAACACCCCATGTTATAATTGGTTTCTTGGTCAACAATATATTATAAATATCTCCCATGTCATTATTCATTATTCTTTTACAGTATTCTTTGCATTGGTTAGACCATATTTACTGAACCAGTCCCAATTGCTTGTCTTTTAAGGTTTTTTTTAACTTTTATCTTTTCTTTTTCTGTTCTATAAATAATTCACTGAAGGAACATCTGAGCTGCTATTATCAAGGGCATTTTTATGTTAAAAAAAAGCTAAATTATTTAAAGTGTAGAAAAATGCTTTGGTGCTGAAATACGGTAACTGACAAGACAAAATGATCGCATGTGAGGCTGTCTTTGTGTGCTTCGGCAGCCTCCTTTGTAAGGGTCCCAGAGGTCGCAGACACGTGACAGATTCCCTGGAAAAGCTGAAACCTCTGTAAGTCAGATTTCTATTACTAGAACAAGTATCTGGAAGAAGAGCAGCTTTTGAAGAGAATCATATTGGTTCATGGTTTTAGAGGATCTGGTTCATGTTCAGGTGGACCTCAAAGGCTCACTGGTGCGTGATAGCAAGGTGGAGAGAATGCAGCTAGTAAAACTACCTACCTCCTGGCCAGGAAATGAGAGAGAACCAGAGGAAGGGATCAGCTCTCAGGATCCCACCCATAGTAATTACCCATAGTAATGTCTCCAATGACCTAAAGACCTCCCCCTTGACCTAGCTCCTAAAGCTCTTCCTTCCCACAGTAGAACCACTCTGAATATGAAAATCTTTTTTATTTTATTTTTTAAAAAGAAAAAAATTATCTTTTTTATTTTACATACCATTCCCAGTTTCCACTCCCTCCCCTCCTCCCATTCCCTCCACCTCCCCTGTCACCTCACCCTCCATCCACTCTGCAGAGAGGGGCAAAGCACATTGTTCCAAGGAAAGATCAAAGCTCTCCCCACTATATCCAAGCTGAGCAAGGTATCTACCCAAAGAGCATGGGTTCCAAAAAGCCAGTACAAACAGCAAGGACAAATACTGGTGACCCTGCTAGTGGCCCCACAGTCTGCCCCAGCCATACCACATTCAGAGAGTCTAGCTTGGTCCTATGTTGGGCCCTTCACTGTTTGGCTGGAGTTGGTGAGCTCCCATTAGCTCAGGTAGACTGTTTCAGTGGGTGTCCCCATCATGGTCTTGACCTCCTTGCTCATATTCTCACTCCTCCGACTCTTCAACTGGACTTTGGGTGCCCAGGCCAAGCTCTGCCGCAGGTCTCTGCCCCTGTCTCCATCAGTTGCTGGATGAAGGTTCTATGGTGACATTTAAGATAGTCATCAATCTGACTGCAGGGCAAGGCCAGTTCGGTCAACCTCTCCACTATTGCTTAGGATCTGCTGGGGTCATGGGTTGAAGAGATGGCTCAGCCATTAAAGACAAGTCTCACAACTAAAAATATGAACATGAAAATCTTAAAGTGCAGGTCTTTTGCAGGGGACACTGAAGATCCAAGATACAGAAAACCCCATGTAGAGAAAATCAACAGACTATGACTTAATACAATAAATTAAAATAAATTATAGAACCACCTAAAAGGGGAGCCATTATGTTACTGTTTGTTCCTGTAGCAAATTCACAGCAATTCAGTATAAATTTCCATTTACAAACAATTCCATTTTTATTTTTTTTCCACTCTACGTGTTGTCTTTTTGATCACACAAATTGTTGCTATATAGATTAAAGTTGCCTCAACAAATCAACCCTTCTTACCAGGCATGCCATCTCCAACCACACTGAAGAAGTCGGAGAAGTCTGGTTTCAGCAGCCCCTCCCCTTCGCAGACCTCCTCCCTGGGGACAGCATTCACACAGCATCACCGACCTGTCATTACAGGACCCAGAGGTGAGTTGCTCCACAGAGATTCATGAGGTGTAAGCATCATAATGTTGAGTTCAGAGTAGCAAAGTGAGGAGACAGTGAGGGCTCCCCTATAGTAAGTGATCAATTCTTTTATTCAAAGATAGCCTTTGAATTTTAGGGCCCAAAGAGATTCGGCATCTAATCTTAATTTTAAGACACAAAGACAATTTTTTTTTTAAAGAGGCAGTGGGATTTTGCAGAGGTGGGGAATAATTTGAGCCCAAATCAAGTGTGCCCTGGAGTTGTGTGTGTGCATGTCTATGTGTATGTATTTGGGTGTGTGCTTTTTCCATGTGGCCAGTTACCTATGTCTCGTATAAATGTTTTCCCAGTCTCCCATCCTTACTGTTTCTCTTCCCACGAAACCCGATTTCCATATGCGGCATTTTGTGTTGAGGTTGTTGGCATTGGGGTGGTGATGAGTTGTCTTCATTCATTCCTTTTGAAGTGGTAGATAGTTTGTCTGGTTTTCATTGCAGTGTTTTCCTCATTTTAGTCTCATGTGCTTTTAAGTTTATTATTAAAATGTGTCCACAAGAAATATGATTTGTATTTCACATTAAAGACAAGCCTGAAACCTCAAGAGAATGTCAACAACTCACTAAACTTGATCCTATTGCAAGATGAAAATATTTATTGGTTTATTTATAAAACTCCCACGGTAGGAGTATGAATAATTGTGACCATTTTCACCCTTCCATCAGATTCTCCTTCATGTCTGTGATCTACCGGTTGGCATCATAAAAGACCCTGGAGAGTTACAGTCTCTTGCCTACTTTGACATATACCTGGGGAAACTGATATTTGTTGCAATGTTAGGGCCACAAATCTGAATCCATTTATGAAAGCTCTGATAGTCCTAAGGAAGTGTGGTACTTGAGATGAATGCACAGAGAACGTGTGAAAAATATCACTTAAAAAAACAAATACTCCGTTATGGGAAACCATTTCTTTATCAGGAAATTCAGTTTCTTCATCTTAGAGACACTGTGTTCATTGTTATGACTTTCTCATCAGGCTCCCTGACTCTTCCTCACTTGTACCTATGACATAGTCACAAATGCTTATCATACATGCATGCATATATGTGTGCACAGACATATTTATGGTATATGTATATTACACATTATATAGAGAAACTTGAGAATTCACATCTGAATGAGCCGTTAAATTAGTTAGTATTATAGCCTGTCGTTAGCATTCGTTGAGCATCTAAACTATAGCAGGAAATGGCAGGTATGAAGCTGCTTTAGGTCAGAATATTGATGGTCCAAGGGAGATAGGCATACTATTCCTCACTTTTATGTTCAGTTTAGCATATTCAAATGCTAAATGAATGTCAAGAGCAAATCTTTCTGCAGGACTCAGAGGAGGGGATTGTGGAAGTTCAGTCATTTGTTCATTGAAGACTTACTGGGATCTTGTCACTGTATAGACACTGGGCCAGTGTCTCCCGTCCTCAGAGAACAGAGCTGGAGGAAGGAAATGAACATTAAGGAAAGCTGGTGTGTAGTAGGCTACATCACTGCGTCAGATAAAGAGACCTGAAAGAGAGCACAGCAGTGAAGTCAGCTCTAAAGAGTCCTATGAGTAGCAGCTATTCCGAGCAAATTAAAAACCCCTAGTGTAGCAAGGCAGTGAGGATGGTAAAGGGCAGCTTGCCAATAGCCGGGAAGGCTGGGGAGGCCGCCCCTGCATTCCCACTCACCTTCTGGCTTGTTAGTGTCGCATCAGTTTGGGGGGGGGGGCGCACAATGGAGAGTGAACCTTTCTTCTCAAACTCATGTTCTCCCTGTGACAACTGCAATCAGGTAGCACGTTTGGAAACTTTATGAAGAACGAAAACAATGTACATACATCATTCCTTATTCAAAAAAAAATACCAATGGTATCTACATTGTGTCTTGGCTTCAAGCCTCATTTCTGTGAACTGTTGTGACTACCTAGCGCTCACCCCAGGTGCACAGTGGTTAAGCCCCTCTCCTACGATGATCCACACTGCATTGGGCCAGAGTCGACTTCTTTAGCACACAACACACAGACCTTTGACCTACTTATGGTCATAGTCCTAGGATGTATGTGAGGAAAAGAGAAGCTTCATTTCAGAACTATGGAATACCAAAAATTCTTTCTTTTCCCCAACATTCAAGGCAAGTCCCAACATCCTCAGTTCTCCTTTCTCGAAAGTCTGCTCAGGTACCCATCCTCACTGTCCCCCTCCTGCACGTTAGTGTGTGGCATAGGCCTTGGAGAAGGGCAATGACTCCCTTCTGTTGCATCTCTGTGCTGAGAATCAGAGTTAAGGTAGGCAAACTAAGGCATCTGTTGGTTAAGGTATTTCTAGGTTGGGATTCTGTCCCTCAAAACTGAAGAGCCATTCACGACAGGCTCTGCATTTCCTTCCCCGTGGAAAGCTCATGCCTATGACGATACCTCTCGGAGACAAAGACTGGTATTTCAGGCCACGTCTGAGGAAAGGATACATGAAGCAGGCAGTGGACTAACAGCGAGAGGCAGGTGCCTGTGAAAGTGTCCTCAGCCACCTATGCTTCTGCAAAGTTACTGTCGCTAGACACAGCACAGTCAGGTCTTTTTAAGAGCCGATACATGTCATTTATCAGGTTCCCAGAGCAAACGAGTGGGGCTCCAGGCATATGCAGTGCTGTCTTGCCAGGGTCACGTGGTATATTCATCAGACTGGTATGTTGGCACTGGGTCACAAGGTCTGTGCTGCCTTCCCTAAAATCCTTCGTGGCAAGCAGCAGTCAGTGAGCAGCAGCTGCATGGCGCATCTCAGTGCTCAGGCCAGAAGCTATGACACAACAAGGTTACTTTCGCCTCCCCCTAAAGATGGCTCTGTTTTCAGCCGCAAGCAAGCCTGATCTGTATTTGGGGATTCGGTGAGTGTCATTTATAAGGAAAGCCTTTCTGGGTAAAGATGGCAAAGTAGAGGCAGAAAGATTGGACCTTGATGGAGAAACAGAGTGTCATATATGATCTTTTGCTTACTGTTTCCAGAGGAGCTTCCAAGATGGGGGAGGACCGTAGCCCATCATCCAAAGCAAACTGTGTGAGCTGACCTCAGAAAAGCCTTGGGACTAAATTCTATGGCTTGTTATAGCTTGTGCTCTTCTGACCACTCTACTGCTTACATTATAAAGGTAGAGGTGTGCGGTTTCTTAAATCCAATCTCTTCCCTGGCAGTGGCTTTCTTTGTGGCTTTGATAAATCACTTTGCCTTGTGGTCTCAGTTGGACCATCCGCACCATGAAGATAATACTTTGACACCTATTTCTCGGTGTGGTTAGAATTAGGTTAAGGGGTTAAACTACTGTGTTGAAATAACTTGGAGCAAGGAAAGTTAAATCTCAACAAAGCCATTTTTGTCATTGCATACGATTGCATTTATTGGGCACTGTAAGCTGGAAGATTGAGCTTATCAAGACTTTCTTTTCCTATTATCTAAAGTCATCCCCGTCATAACATGTTCAATCATGGCAATGTATCTTATCTACGATGATTGGAAAGAAAACCTCTGTTCTTCTGTCTGTTGTTTCAAATGCTGTGACTGTGCCTGGTGATCTAGGTTCAGTTCTGAAACTTTTTCACTCGCTGAGAAATCTCTCCATGACCTTGGATATTTAGACATAAAATGGGTTTCTAAACCAAAGAGTAGCTGATAAAAAAAAGCATAAAAAGTATTTTAAAAAATTCTTTGGTTACTGTGTATATTTAGTAAAGACCAAAGATAATTTGTCATAAATGAGATGGATATATTAATTTTCTACATAGAATTAAATTTTGGCTGAATATTTGACGCTATAAGACATGAAGCATCTTCATCATTTTTAGATTGAATCAGTACTTTAATTTTTATCATCAATGCTGAGAATGCCTCCACTCTCACTCATACACACACACACACACACACACACACACACACACACACACTCACACACTCACAATACATATGTGTTTAGTGTCATTCCACAAATTGTTAGGAAATTTGTCCTAACTTAAAGCCAGAAGTCATTGAATTATTTTTTATATAGCTTGCCAACAACTCCGATAGCAGGTTTAAAAACCAAATATTTCAATACAATCCAAAGATGCATTAATACGCCACTTACATACTGACAAATGATGGTAGAAAAAAATGTTCATCTTCCGTGATCAGACCATTTTGTTTCTATAAGAGCAGAAGACTGCATATGTAAAAAAAACCTTTTCAATTCACGGCATTAAAGAGTCTCAGCTCGGATGGAGGTGTCCCAGGTCCCAGGCGGCATCAACCAGTGTTGTGTGGTGTGGGTGGCACATGGAATGGAAAGTCCATATGCACTCACAACCGAGACTGTGGTAAAGTCATGTGCTCAGCCTAGGCGAACACTACAGAAACACCGTGAGTTCATTAACTATTTAATTTTTGAATTGATTTTTGGTTGTGTAGAATCTTTTACTGTTGCCAATTTTTGCACGAACCCCACATTTAGCTAGATGATTCCTTATGGGGATGTAGCACACAGTTTAAGAAAATAATTCCCTAAGGGTTTGTCTGACCCTTTCATAGTGTGTCTGTGTGTGTGTGTGTGTGTGTGTGTGTGTGTTCATACGTCCATGCAAACAAGTATAGGTGTGCAGATCAGAGAGTGACTTTCAGGGATCGGTTCTCTCCTTTCACAATTTGAGATCCAGGCATTAAGTTCGGGTCATCAGACTTTCCAACAAGCTCCTTTGCCAGTTGATTCATTTTTCCAACCTTTGTCTGATTCCTTTTAAGATTTGGAGTAACCGTCAATGATATTTTAAATTTCTTGTCCTCCAACCTCTACACACACATGCCACTGCATACATATATATGTGTATATATACATGCATTATATATGCATATAATGATATGTGTTGTAGAGGTCACAGAACAAGTTGCAGGAGTCTCTCCTCTTGAAATGTGGGTCTCAGAAATTGAATTAAGTCTTCAGGCT